CCCCAAAACCCCAAAACCCCTTTAATATTAAATACAAAAATATCAGGAAACTTGATAAATTATTTATTTTTTACTATTCATAAATGATTTTATTCCTTGGGCTTAACTTTAATTTTAGCAGGGATAATTATAATATCTTCTTCATTATCTTTTAGATCATCATAGAAAATATTTCCACCATTACCGTCAGTTTTTTCTCCATAAATAGAGCAGCATACTGATTAATCAGCTACAAAATTGGCTCTCGCACAAGTATCATTCGACTTGTCTTGAGTTATGATATTGCCATCAATATCTCTTATATAAGTTGAGGTCCAAAAAATGGGATTCTAAACATTAGCTTTGACTATTCTTGCACCTCTTTTAAGCTAGCCATTACCGCCTTAACCAGATTTTCTGGCATAGGCAAGATTTATGCCTTGATAAGTACCCTTATAATCATTATCGCTATCACCACCTGCAATTATCCAATTAATTCTTTTAGAGTCAATAGCAGCTTTAAAGAGACCAGTGTTTTCAGCCTAGCAGCATACCTGCTGACCACAGGTGCCTTAAGCAGAGTAGTGTGTAGTCATAATCATAAATTCCTCTAGTGGGTAGGTTGTGAATAAAATGTCACTTTGAAGTGACTTGCTTTAAATATTAAACGTTTCTTATTTAAACCAATCTATTGCCTCATTTGAAATGCAAGATTTACCCTGCTTATTTCCATAGCAATCATAGCCTCCTAGAGAATCTAGAATCCAAATGTTGAAAGCAAGTGATTGACCATCTTTTTAATATATTGGAATTTTTTAAGTATACAGTCCAATCTTAGATGCATTTCCATTTTAATATTTAGCTGAAAAGCTTAAATCATCTGGTTATCCTAAAAATTGATCTCTTGAAATCATGTATTCTCTAGTCACTGCATTATCTGGCTTATCTTCGCCACCAACTAAAATTAATTAATATTTAATGAATATTGTTACCTGAAACCCATGGGATACTGTAATTCTTAAAAATATCAATGGCTTCTCCAAATCTTGATGTATAGCTATCCTCGTAATCAGGATTGACAGTGTCACCTAGCAGCACAGCTAGACTGATATCATAGCCTTCATCCTTGACTATTTATTTTATCATATCATCAACAGCTTAATTAGCATCCGCATTGTTGTCTATATAGAGATCACTTAGCACCAACATCTTGAATGAGTCTTTAGAGTCTAATTTAAGAACTTTAGTGCTTTTAAAAGAAACCGTGGTTACCAACAGCAATGTTAGAATTGATTAGGATTTCATTTTATATTTATATCAATAAAGCTGCTATCATCTTCTTCAATTATAAACTAATCTTAAGATAAAGCTTGAAACTACAGGAGGCTTTAAGGCC